TATCTATCTATCTATCTATCTATCTATCTATCTATCTATCTATCTATTTCTATCTATCTCTATCTATCTATCTATCTATCTATCTATCTATCTATCATCTATCCATCCATCCATCATCTATCTATGACAAGAATAGGAAAATTAGCTATGTTTGTGAAAGACAGTTTTTCTTCTGCTTTGATTTACATTGTCACTGGGAATAGTCTATTTGCACTACGACAAATATTAGCATAACTAGCATCTTAGTGCTTTTTATTCACTTTCTTTCCATAATGTCTCATAAACAGTTGGGTGACTTCTCTCCCCCTTTCAGCCTCTTTCTATATGTGTTTGATGTTGTTTTAGTAATGATTTTATTTCAAATCACAGATTAGGGAGTAGTAGTACAGTTCTAGGATGAGTTGTTTTTTAAATGAATGTTGCTGTTTTGAGGCTGTGGCATCAAGGGATTGTTGACATATATGGAAGATCCATGAGACACCTTTGCCATCTCATCCCATAATCCTTTTAAATGGAGGGAGTTCATAATTTTGGGTCTAGTTATTGATTATGTGTGGACCTCAGCTTTTAAAAATTGATGTTGGTATGAAGCTCTCTTCATATCAATATCAGGTTGAAGTCACACACTCTGTGTAATGCCTGTATCTTCTCAGCTCACTTGATGTTAATCCAGACTGGACTCAAGAAGTATGTATGGTTTTATACAGATCCATCAGAGCAGGATGGACCTGGCAAATTTAAGAGGTCCAGATGCAGAAACACGGTGCTATGAGTCTCTCATAGTCTTTTTTCATTTCAAATCACCTGACTACGGGGATTCTTCAATGGTCATCAAGTGTGAAAAATGACCATAAGTCCCTTTTTTTCATTGCCGTTGTAATTTCGAACGGTCATAAAACTAATTGTTGTAAGGCGAGGAATATCTGTACGCTGTAAACCAGGGAAACCTTGCTAACTGCTACTTTTTCTTTCCCTTAAGAGCTATCAAACTCTGCAGAGTCAGCTGAGAGCTCCGGAAACATCCATGAGGTTTTAAAGAGCCTTGAATCGGGCATGTTGTCCTCATCAGATATTGCACATCTGCGTCAAATGAAATCATTCGTCCTTCTGCAGAATGTGGAGGAACTAAACATTGCCCTGAAAGACTTCAGTACACATTCAGAGATGCCTCACGGTAGGCTGAATTAACCCAAGTTTGTTATGAGTTTTCTTCTAGCATGCAGATTTCCTATAAAACCATTCTTCTCAAGCATTTTAATTTCTTTTCTTTGTTTAATAATTAACGTTCGTAGAAATATAAAGGATTTTTATTCAGTGTATCTTTGCAGGGCAAAATGTAGATTCTCCCCCCCCCACCCCGCAACTTCAAATAAGTTCTTTGTATGGGAAAAGAGAATTTAAATCTTGAAATTGCTTTCTGGTCAGTCATGGCTTTCCATGATCTTTTTGCAGTGGCTGTGCCGCTGCCAGATACCCCTAAAAATGGTTCTTAAACGTAATTTATATTCCAATAGATAGGAGATATTAAATATATGACAGGAGAATAATCATCTTAAGTATATTTAATTTAGTTTAATGAAATCAAATAAAATTTAATCCTAGCCCTGCCCCTTATTTTATGGAAAGACCTTTAGCTCAAAAATAAAATATGCACATCGGTCTTAAACATATGGCTGGGCAAGGTTTTGCTTATTACTATATAATGTATCCCCTATATGGAATAGCATCAATGCCAGAATTCCTTTGGTTGGCATATATCAGGTTCCAGTTCATGGAATGCTTGATTCTTAGCATTGAGAAAGCAAGAAAATCCCAGCAGGAATGAAAAAGCTTTATTTTATACAATGACAACAAGAGATTAAATTTTAAAGAGAAGAAAAGGAAAAGGAAGCCATTTTAGTTAATTTCTTAGTACACTTGTCTTAGAACTGTAGAATGTGCATATCAAGTGGGTACTACATCCCATAGCAGAGAGGAAGAAAATAATCTGCTATATGATCGCAAAGAACCCTAACTGTCATCGTTAAACAGTAGAAGTATGTCTGCACTTTTGGTTCTAGTTAATATATTCATATTTTCATATTGTGGGAAATTCATTCATTGCATCCAGAAAGCAACTAGGAATGATGAAGACATGAGAACAGTATCAGATCCTTCTTTCCGTAAATGCATGTGTTCTTAATTTCTATGTAAATTAAGAATAAAAAATTTTCTACCCTCTGCAATTGCAAAATTGATCAATAGAATTATGAGTCCGTTTGTTTTTTAAGGCATTTAAAATCTAGGAGATGGTGAGTTCTAGTTCCCCTTTAGCCTAAAGTCAGCTGGTCCCCCTTTCTCAGCCCTAGGAAAAAGGCATGGACAAACCACTTCCAAAATGTTGCTAAGAAAAATTGCCTGGATTTCTAACCAGGAGTCTAGACTGACTTGAAGACAGGAAAATAAAGTAAAATAAAAATTGCATTGTTAAATTGAAATAAAAATATCTTCGCTTCTATAATCGAAAAATTGCTGAAAAGATACATAGACCACATTTTTTGAACTGATCCAATGAGCTTCATTGGAACATAACATTCCATAATTTGGCTATCTAATATAATATATTATTGTGTATTGGCTGTTTATTAGTCATTTATCTAGATGGAATGAAGGTCTTTGAAAGGTTAATTGTTTTGATTTTTCATCTGATCGTTATGAATTTGCTTCTCTTTCTTTGCTACAATTTCCATTTCTGTAAGGGAATGCTAGTTACGAGAGCCTGTTTGGTGTAGTGGTTAAAGTACCACTACACCAGGCTAACTCCAGGCTAGAAAGCAGGAGACATTTCCAATTCCGCCTTAGCCATGAAATCTAGCTGGGTAATCTTGGACCAGATACACTCTCTCAGCCCAACCCACCTCACAAGGTTGTTTTTTTAGGGGAAATAAGAAGAGGAAGCTATGTTGGATACGTTTTCTGTCTTGAATTATTTGTAAAAATAATAAAGGTGGGACTTTATAAATAAATGGATAAATAAATGATTATATATTATTATTAATATTTGTATATGATATGTATGAGGGACACGGTGGCTCAGTGGCTAAGATGCTGGGCTTGTCGACCAGAAAGGTCGGCAATTCGGCGGTTTGAATCCCTAGCACTGTGTAACAGAGTGAGCTCCCGTTACTTGTCCCAGCTTCTGCCAACCTAGCAGTTCGAAAGCATGTAAAAATGCAAGTAGAAAAATAGGACACCACTTTGGTGGGAAGGTAACAGCGTTCCATGCGCCTTCGGCGTTTAGTGATGCCGGCCACATGACCATGGATATGTCTTTGGACAGCCTTGGCTCTTCGGCTTTGTAATGGAAATGAGCACTGCCCCCTAGAACCAGAAATGACTAGTACGTATGTGCGAGGGGAACCTTTATTTTATGATACATATTGTTTTAATCTAATCTGTTGAAAGTTAAGAGCAGAGTTATTTAAAGTACATACATGTTAGTTGCTTTTTTACTTCAAGCTTATCTGGATTTAATAATAAAATATAAAAAGTTGGAACTCTTTTGTTGGCATATATTTCCAGTTATTTCAGTTACATCTTTAAGTAATTTCACAAATTTGTGCTTGGGAATACAAATGACTAAAGGTATAAACCAGTTGCTGCTTAAAATTATAATGCAATAATTAAAACAGCTAAAAAAGACATTACAGAAATCCCAATAATTGCTTTTTGCTTTGTTATGAAAATTAGCTTTGCAAACAGGATGTATTGTTAAACTGTTTTTTTATGTTTATCTCCACTAAATTTTTTAAAAAAAATGCAGAATATGTTTATATGTGGAGGGAAGAATCTAGGATTATCCAATCAGCTGTACAATCCTAAATGGATCATTTTCCAATATATAGTTACAAGCAGTTCTCGAATTATGACAGTTCACTTAGTGATGGTTCAAAGTTACACCTCCCCCAAGAGTACTTACGACACAGTCCCGAGTTACGAATGTTGCATCATGATGCCAGTTGTTCACTCTTACAACCAGCCGCAGAAACACTGCATCCTTTCCCCTGCTTATTCCCTCCCACAGGGACCTAACAGGCACTGGGCCTGCTATACTAGCCCACCAGCTCCTCCCCACCTTGTGACCAATTACTCACTTACCTTTCAGAGATCCAGAATTCCAGAACAAGCTGACTCTGATCTCTCCTCAAGCAAGCAATCTCCTCCCCAGATTTTCCGTTGCGGGGCTGCAGGGCAGCGTGGTTTCTTTGCCTGCTGCAAGCACTCCGAAAGCAGAGCTGTGAGAACAGAGGAAGAGAGGGATGAGTGTGCCCTGCTCAGCTTGGCTGACTCAATGAAGCTGCCTATTCAGCTTTTGGAGTGGAGCACAGGCCTTTTTTTGGGGGGGGGTCCACTTTTGCAGCACCAGATAGCCTTGGTGAGTCTGAAGGAGCATGAGATTGCACCCCCGAAGACCTCTGTCCCTTTGCAAAAGCTTTTGGTGCAGAGGACAGAGGCCTGGAGGAGTGCAAGATCATACCCCCCCCTCACCAAAGGCCTGTGCTCCACTCCAAAAACTTTTGCAAAGGGATGGAAGGGTTTGGGGGAGCAATCTCGCATTACTTCAGGTCTGTCCCTTTGCAAAACCTTTTGGCACAGAAAGCAGAAATGTTTGGGGACGCGGTTTTGGGCTCCTTCACACTCATTGAGGTTGCTCAGCGCTCCAACAGCAGATTCCTGCACAGGCAGCCTTAATGAGTCAGCTAAGCTGAGGAGGATGGGTCCTTCCCGCTCTGCCTCTTCTTTCACCGCTGTACTTTTGTAGCGCTGGGAACAGGCAAAGAAACCGCGACAGAGAGGCTGGAAAAGAGACAGCTCTCTAGATCATCAAGATCTTCCAAATGTAAGTGAGTCTCCACAGGTGCAGTGCCTGTGGAGATCTGGTGGGACATATTTGGAGGGGGGGAAGCATGAGATATCTCAATAGATTGGAAGAAGCCTTGAGCAGTTGGAAGCACTAGGCCTCCCATGGTCTTTCCCACCCTGAGATACCTCATATGCACTTAATGACCTGCCCATTCAATTAGCAAATGCATTGGATAAAGCAGGGAAGGATCAAGTTCATTTAACGTGATCCAATTAACGAATCCTCGGGTTACAAATGTAATTGGCATGCTCTATTACATTCATAACTGTAAAGCTTTTTCTGTGGTAAGAGCTAATAATTTCTAAGCCAACAATTGAAACTAGTGTTGTTTCTTTTCTTTTTTCTTTTCTTTTTTTTCTTTTCTTTTCTTTTCTTTTCTTTTCTTTTTTGGAAGGAGCACTATCCTTTCAAAGTCTGTTGCCAAGGAAAGTTATTGAATCTATTTTGAATAAATTTCATAGAATAATTTGCTTACTTAGAAAAAAAAATGGGGACAATTTCTGACACTGAGTTATCCACTAGTTGTCCTCTTTTATGTCAGCTTTTATAGTACCATGAAATAAATTCATGCAAGTAATAGTAGCAGAAAAGCATTACATTCAAAGATTTATTTCTTGATAGGACTTCCCTTGATGATAGTAAATTAAAAGCCATTTTAGATACAGTGAAGCTCTCATGGAATCAAATAAGCAAAAACAAAAGTTTGTTTGAAAATTAATTTGTAAGAAAGAATATAGATCCATTGTACTTCTGAGCCAGCTATTCAGCCAGCTAGAAATACATCGACCCAATGTATCCAGTGATGTTAGCAATAAAATATGTGGTTATCTCTGAGATTAACAAACATTTGGGGAACAGGTTACATGTAGATCAGTCCCACAATTTAAACTCCACACAGATTTCAATTCTGTTTATTTAACATTTATTTTCATCTGAAATACAATGGATACTGAAAGAGATCTGATGCACAAGGGACTTCGTTTCATATTTGGCTATTTGTTCTGTGAGGAAAGATTTGTGATCAATAGTTTTACAGTTTACCTCGGGGATTATACGAAGTATATTACTTTCTCTAAATACAGCTTTATCCTTTTATCTTTGATGATGATATCTGTTGCCAGAGGATTAGGAATTCATAACATTCTTTGTGCTTAGTATGGCAATTTTGGAAATGTAGAAGTCAAACATGGCCTTCATCTCAGAATAGCTAGGGTATGGATTATTGCATCCATGGGGGGAAAATTATACTTTGGAGTCATTTTCATCCATGG